AAATACATTTAAACGGCAATGCCAACAGAAGAATACTACTGCAAAGTACCCCTGAGTTATGAGTTTTCATTCAGACTTCCGATTCGAACAACACTGCGAATAAATTGTCAACTTTTCCCATAAACAAATAAGAGCAATTTTATTGCAGTTAGAATCCACCTAGTTAGGAGATGAATGTCTCTGGTGGTTTTATGTTATATTTGAAACATGTTGGTTCGGTATTGTAAGCTTACTTGTTGGTGTTTACGATGTCTTTTCGTAAAATACGAAAACGTGTTTGTTCATGTTTACACACACTCTAAAGTTGTGACAAAGCTAAGGCAAACGATTGGATATATAACATTTAATATCCTTGTTGCAAGCACATTCGTTAACGTTAACAGGTCCCGGAAAACTCAACTCAATTATTGCAAAAATGAAGTTCTAAAATCATTAACCTTTAATTGTTCGCGCTTCCGATGATTAAAAAGGGCACAAATAGTATATTTTGTGAACTATCCGTATTCTAGTTTAAATAAAAATTCTGCCAACACAATCCTTTGCCAAATAAAAAAGGTTAATACTTGGCAAATGGTAACTGTATTGCTATATGATAAGCTCACTACCATCATTACCGTAATTACAGATGTCATTTGCCTTATAACCCGATTGCCAGTAACTGCTTAAACGCATATTTCGATTGTTGACGAACAACTTTATTCAATTAGCATATAGAAAATACATATTTACATCACTACTAAGAAAAGGGTAATATTCAAGGCGAGCTATACGTGTTTGTAATCGCATCGTCTATTCTTACAACATAAAACATATTGCCAGTAAAGTCAAAATACCCATACCCTTGTTGAATGTTAGTGTTGCAACAGAGTTACACAGGTTGGTTTTACAGCAACTACTGCAAATATTCACATCTGAGAAGAAAACAAACATGTACAACCAAAGAAATGACGAGATATGTACATTACTTGGGGTATGCAACGCACATAGTGCTGTATGGTGACAATATCCCATTCAAGTCTCCTCTCGTAGATAGCGAGACGGATGCGACTACCTTCTGACATTACATAGGCGGTTTGTAA